GCCGCGCGCTCAATCCACTCAGCGCGCTCTGCTTATCAGCTCGGGCACATCCGCTATACAGGCGTGAATATTGAATGTTTAACATTATATTAATTACTTACATGTCCTTCATAGACATCCTTAATCTCTAATAACTCCATTCTACTCTCTGTTGTTCTGTTTTCAGTGTTTCTTTTTCTGGACACAGCTCTATTCACACACTGTTTGGTATCGGGGCATTTTTACGAGTACGAGTACAGGAGCGCAGTATCGGCCCGATACCAATAGCAGTATCAGTATCGGTGCATCCCTAGTAATAACCTAGAACACTGTCTAAGACTTGATGGCTGCTCTGTCAATTCTTTGTCATCAGTTAGGAACCTAGGTGTGCTATTTGATAGCAATCTTTCCTTTGAAAGCCATGTTTCTAGCATTTGTAAAACTGCATTTTTCCATCTCCAAAATATATCTAAATTACGACCTATGCTCTCGATGTCAAATGCAGAAACGTTAATTCATACATTCATGGCCTCAAGGTTAGATTATTGTAATGCTTTATTGGGTGGTTGTTCTGCACGCTTAATAAACAAACTCCTGCTGGTCCAAAATGCAGCAGCTAGAGTTCTTACTAGAACCAGGAAGTATGACCATATTAGCCCGGTTCTGTCAACACTGCACTGGCTCCCTATTAAACATCGTATAGATTTTAAAATCTTGCTAATTACTTATAAAGCCCTGAATGGTTTAGCACCTCAGTACTTGAGCAAGCTCTTATCGTATTATAGTCCTCTACGTCCGCTGCGTTCTCAAAACTCTGGCAATTTGATAATACCTAGAATATCAAAATCAACTGCGGGCGGCAGATCCTTCTCCTTTTTAGCGCCCAAACTCTGGAATAACCGACCTAACATTGTTCGGGAGGCAGACACACTCTGTCAGTCTAAATCTAGATTAAAGAAAAATATATATATATATATATATATACAAAACAGAACATGCAGCTGCTATTAGATGAGGAAATTCAACCCCTACATGCACATAAACATAACATGGATAAAATGTATGTAGCCTATTCCTACATTTTGTTCATTTATGACTGAAGTTATGTTGAGTTTAGTTAGCACAGTTAAATGACCTAGACGGAAGATGAAGGTAAGTTTTAAGATAAAAGAAATAAAAACATTTAATCCAATTTTTTCCCATTTTTTTAATGATACATTTCTGACGTTTTGAACCATTTCTACAATATTAGCTATTTTATATATTTTGTATATTACATAAACATAACAATATAAAGACCATATATTGGTGTATTTTACAGTAGTAACTGTAGTACCATTGGTTACCATGGTATTTTTTTTTAAAGGCAGGCACATGCACACTTAGACATTAAAGGGGGCTTGAGCACCTGCTTTTTCTTACTCGAGAGAAAGTGCCCTTTTTTCTGGGGAGTTTTTTTTTTTTTTTAAATAAATGATTAGTTACAGTGCAACTATCATGATTAAAGCTAAATATAAGCAAACTATGTTTATTTTCACAATAAACACCACAACAGACATTTATCACTAGTTTAGTGCTTTCAAACATGATAATTTATATTACTTCAATTAATAATGACTTAATACATGGATGTGTTATAATGGATGTGTATACATACATTATTGTCATCATACCCCACACCGATGATGTTGCATGGTGTTCCGAACAATGCATTTTGCCAAGTGAAGAGAACTTTAACAGATATCCCATGTGCAGGGAGAAGTGTGCGGTGAACATAGGCGGAGGGTGAACCAACTCCAGGGTAAGGCTAAAAGCAGCCAACACAAACATCATAAACCTGTCTTTTTAGGCAAGAACCATACATGGGTGTCATGTAAAATATGTTTAATGGGACTGAATTTGTATTTAATGTGATTACAATTTAATTAAAACATTAGAAATTGATCATTATATAACGTTTCCTTCCCTCGGTTATTCAAACGGCGAATGAATTATGTACAACAATGACATTATCACTAACTTTGATCTATCTCACTCTCAAAAACAAAAACAAAACTATCGTTATAATCACTGAAGCTGTCTAAACTGCGAAAGGAATCCCTTACTTACATTGTACATACATCTGCGCTTTGTTGTTTATGATGAGAGAATTCGCGGAATTCAGTCATCGAACAAACACGCATTCAACTAAGCTGATGAGTTTTAGCGATTACTCATCTGAACGCCTCTGATTGACTATTGCATTCCTAAGCTCAACAGAATCGTGTGTGATTGGTTATAATGCGCAACACTGTAAAAGCGCCTAAAATGAACACTTTCTATTCATTTACACTTTGTTAGTAACAGACGTAATAGATTTAATTTGCTTGTGCAGGGGCATTTTTGTCCAATTTAGTGGCATTTTTGCCCCAAGACCCCATGGCCAGCCTTACACACGCTCCGCCTATGCAGAGAGTGAAGCCCTCCCTCCCTTTCCCATTGTGTTTGTCTTGGTGTGGAGGTGAGTGGTGATGAACAAAAGACTAAGCTACCTGTGCCTCGAAGTTACAGCTAATTATCCAAAAGACAAAAGGCAAATAGAGTTAATCTGTCTTGCTAACATCCATGACTCGTGAGCTACCATGTAATAAGTTAGCTAAAGTTTAGCTAAGGCAATATATCATGGGCATATTCAATTCAATTCAATTCAAGTTTATTTGTAGAGCTTTTTTTACAATACAAATCATTGCAAAGCAAATTTACAGCAAATTAAGTTTCTACAATATTTAGTGGTAGCTTATCAGTGGTGACTGTCAGTTAATGTACATATGGAAGAAATGTACGGAAAAATCAATTAAAGACATAATCAAAGACGTAATCAAACAGACAATGTACACTATTAACAGCAATTATTATATGATGCAATCAAACTTCTAGCAAAATGTGGTAGTTCTGTATGTTGTTTCATGGTTGGCATCATCTGAGGTCCTCTGAGGGGTTGGATGTCAATCCCGTGAGTAGTCAATAACCGGGAGCTTATGACAATTTTGATTGATGACTTTGATCTTTGACCCATAATTATATCCATATGCGACCTTCGACATCATAATAATTTCCATATGTGAAAACCGGCGCGCGTGAAATCCGGCCGTCAAACCGGATGACAAATGATGTTTGTACAGCTGTATGAAAGAGCCCAAGGATGACAGGTGATAAATTAAGTATTGTTTTTGAAGATATTATGGAGCGTTCCCATATCCGGACTCACGTGTGCGGACGTGTCCGTGGTATCAGGTTGCTGTGTGTCATGCTCGCGCTCTCTCTCACTCACCACCCCCTCTCTCTCTCTCACTCTCTCTGTGGGAGAAAAAACAATCATTGATGAACTATAAATAAACAATTTTAACAGATTGCGAGATCGTATCACAATATGAGTGTGTACTCTTACAATATAATACTGAATAAAAAGATTCTCAGCATATGAATGAATTGAAAAATAAATCAATAAAAATATAAATTGCCTTACATTTTTCAGGGAGAGAAAGTCTTCCTCGTGCAAGCATCGCGATTCTACAAATGAAATATTTCCCAAAATTGTGCTTGGTTTAAAATGAAAGAAGAAATCTTTCTTTGAGATCATCTCTGCCCCTTTGCCTGTGTGATCATGGATGTGTGTGTGTGTGTGTGTGTGTCACGTCCCACTGATCATGTCATTTCGCCCCGCTGCGAGTTCTGAAAGGGGAGGGGTGCGACGCTGAAAACGGATCTGCTTGAAAAACAAAAAAGCTATCCCCTCTATTTTTAAGATGTTTATCCAGATGGACCCCAAGAGCCAGACCTTTTGCTACGCAGCGAGCTATCTCATTTTAAGATGGTTATGTAAACGTGTCGCTAATCTAGAGTGACGATGAAAAATATTGACTTCTGTCACGGCTGTAATGAGGGGATTGCTAAACTATTTTCACATATGGTACAGAGTTCAAACAGGCGATAGGCTTGTTTTTAGTAAGTTTCTAACTGCATCTGGCAGTGGCGGATCCTGGCATGTGTAGGCAGCTGCCTAGGGCCGCTATCTTCTCTTCTTTATATTTAATTTTAGGCGGTTTCTATAGTAAAGAGCTTTTTTCTAATTCAGGTGAGGAGCTTATCTCACTAAATGGTTGCAAGCTGATTATAGTCAGCCTTCTCTAGTTATTTATTTTATTAATAGCCTACTTATTTTAGTTAAGTGCTTAAATTGTAAATATGCATTTATTCAAATATTTTATTTAGTGCATTTGTATTTTGTTGTTTTTGTATATAGTTTTGCAATAAAAGCGTATCAACCAGGTTCCAGAAATAATCACTGAGGGTGCTTCTGAAATGAGTGAGGGTGCTCTAGTCTTAATGCACATTTTCACATATTTTGCCCCATCTGTTGCTATGGTTATCACTATGTCA